TATTTTTTTTATGTCCTGAATGATCCAGGAATAACATTTCATGAAAATCTCCTCTTTTCTGTCTCCAGGTTTTATGGGGCATGTAAGCCCCGCAGAGCACGAGTCACTCACCCCCAGTGCGGAGTTGGACGACCAAAGTTCAGCCATGAACACCAGAGGAACTTGGGAAATTTCTAGTGTGAATCCCTTGCTGAATCCTCCACATCACACTGACCTGTTTGAAGACTTTGGTCTGCGATTAAGTGCAGAACAAAACCCGAGAACCTTCAATGTTAATCTGCTAACACAAGATCTTTTGGATGTGGAAGGCAGATCGAGTTCACAGTATGGCACATACACTGATCACTCCCCTGATTCAACACCTTCCAGTTTCACCATGTCTCCTGAGCGAGAGGGGAACAGTATGACCCAAGACCTCAGGACACCTCCGTCCTCTGTCTTTCTGTTTGAAGAAGAGGACAATGTTGAGGACGAAGATGGTCTCCTCAGCCCACTTGCAGACCTCTTAGAGGATGCTACCATCTTGGATGAGATCAGAATGTTGGATCTGGCTCTGGAGGAAGGGTTCAGCCCTGAGATGGCTGCGAGGCTGGAAGAGGAGGGCTACTTTGAACGTGAAACAGTCAAAGAGGAAACTGGGGAAGATGATGACCTCTCCGGCTTGAGCATGCCAAATACAGAAGATCAACCAAGAACACATCAACAAGGTAATAAAGAGAAGCTAACGTACCATCTAATGTGATTACTTTTTCTTGCCAAATTTGCAACCACATACCTTTTCTTTTTAAAGGCTTTATATGCGATTTTTTTTTTTTTGGATCCAGCAGATGTCACCCTCGAGCACCAGCATGAAACCAAACCAACTCGTGGTGCATTGTTGTGTTAGCATGCTAATGCTAGCGATCTTTATTATGCTCGTATCTTCACACTGCATGTAAATTTACCTGAAATGACCGTGATCTAGAAACGCAGTTAATCAGTGAGTACAGTATGTTATTCTTCTTTTCTCTAGTCCCTCAATTAAACAACTTTTATACGCAAGGGGAGGTGTCAGCCGGCCGTCCCGACGATATAAACAAACTAAAGATAGGACTCGGAAAACATCACAGACAGTGGGACTCGGGTGTTACACCCATTGTAGACAGTCATGACTCAGAGTTATTTTCAGAGGATATACTTGATTTATATTACATTTACGTGTGAAAAATCACAAAGCCCTTAAAGCGAAGCACATGTTGAATTTTCTTTGACCTTTCCTCGTTTCCTTCTCCTAGATGACGAGGAAGAAGCAGATTCAGACTCTGGTCTCTCTCTGGACTTCAGCCACAGCCCAGCCTCTCCATCTGCTTCTGAGGCCTCTTCGTATTCCTCTTCTTCCTCCTCTTCTTCTTCTTGTGGGTCAGCAATGGGAAGTCCTTTCTCTGAGTACGAGGACAGAGAGGTTGAGGAAGGGTCATTGGGCTCAGAAATGGAGGTGGAGGTGACCATAAAGCAGGAGGACCTGGAAGAGGAGGAGATGGGTGCAGCTGGAGGGGGATACCCTGCAGATGTTAAGGAATCCTTCTCTTTTAACCACGGGGATCACAAGATGTTTCATGGCTTTCCTTGGGTGGAGAGCATCGGCCACGACCACACGTACAACCAGCCCTGGTCGTCGCCCCAAACTCCAACTCCGGGAAAGATGCCATCAAAACGCTCCAAATCTATCCTTCGGCACAACGCCAAGCCTTACCGCAGCTCCTCCTCCTCCAGACACGTATCTGACAGCAAAATGTGGAGCCGGGATGAACGGCGTGCACGATCCCTGAAAGTCCCTTTCTCTACTGAACTGATTGTTAATCTGCCAGTGGAGGAGTTTAACGACCTAGTGGCCAAATACAAACTCAGCGAGGAGCAGCTCACCCTCATCAGAGACATAAGACGCCGCGGTAAGAACAAGATCGCCGCCCAGAACTGCAGGAAGAGGAAAATGGACGTACTGCTGGAACTGAAGGACGACGTTACAGGTATGAGGCGCTACCGTTCACGACTGCTCCGCGAGAAACAGGAAGCACTGAGGAATCTGCAGGAAATGAAGCGCCAACTGGGCGTCTTGTACGATGACGTTTTTTCCAGGTTGAGGGACGAGGAGGGGATGCCGCTGGACGCCATGGAGTACCTACTTCAGTTTGAGTCCAATGGCAGCGTCACAGTGGCCTCACGCCAACAAGGGGCAGTGCATCCTCTGTCAAAGCGCAGTAAGAAACAAAAGGACAAAAAGAAGTGAAGAGATGGACCAGACCTTTGGAAGTGTGGGACAAGTTAAGAGATTCTTAATAGGATTGTGATTTAAAACCACTAAAAGAAAGAAACACTCAAGCAGTGGCAAATGAAGGACCACAAGAATATTTTGAATATTTGGTGCTCATAGGTGTCATGAACTCTTTCAACACCTCGACAGACGCCCCGATTTGTTGATCAAGCCATCCACCAATTCTTCAGAGAAGATCAATACAGGTCAAAGAAAAGTCCTTTGAGCGACGAGGTGAAAAATCAGAAACCTTTGACTCCAGGTTGGGTTATAGTCGTCTACGTGGTTCAAAGTTCAACACTGGAAAAGGACTACAACAGTTCAGCTTACTTTTACACTTTCGAGGTAAATTCAGTCCAGATGAGGGATAACCAGGGACCAGTGTTTTGCAATTCTAGCTTCAATGCTTCTGCACAACCATGCTTTCTTTTAGGTCGGCTGCCTCAGAAGCTTTAAGATATTGGGCTGATGGCGTCAAACTGGATTCTTGCTTCGAGCGGATAAGTTCAATCATGGAGCTTCAAGGAGTCTGAACCCCAAGGGAAGGGTTGCTGGTAAAGGGAGACTGAAGTTCTTGACCCGGTTGGGATGAAGTATCTCAGTGAGACACTTGAGCAGGCCAAAGGCTTTGGGTTATGACGACTAAACCTTGAAACGTTCTGTTGCCAGATCGTGCAAAACCACAGTGCATCGTGCTAACCACCAAAACCCAAAGGAACCAGGATCCATCTGAAGCAGAACTCAGACTTAACAATTCCTTCGAGCAGGCTAGATTTTTGCTGCTTTGGGGAAAACGGACGGTTCCTCTATGACTTCAGATCGGCGAACAAAGAAGCCATTAAGAGGACTATACAATCAGCTGAACTCTTCTTGTCGATATAAGCTATTTCAGAACAACTTGATTAAGGGGATTTATTCTTTTTTTCCTGGTATCATATGATCTCTTTGTTTCTATCACTATCAACAAATCATCCAAGTCTAGCCTTATTCATGGACCTTAAATGTTCTACAAATAAGTTGGGATGATGAGCTGTCACAAACTTTAGCAACTCAGGTGATTCAGCTGCAAACATGGAACTGATGTTAAGAGGTATTTGGTGGTTAGGGCTCAGGAAAAAAACCCAACATCCCCCATGTTGTGGCTTCAAGTGTAGGAGGAGTGGACTACAACACATGCCATTGTGTTTTACTGCTTTGTGGACAGGATGATTTAAATGGGAATGACTGTTTTTTAAAACGTTGCCTTTTTTTTACTTGTGAACTGAAAGTCCGGTATGTTCTACCTGCCGGCCTTGAACATGCATGTGTGTTATGCATTTCAGGGTTGAAGGGGCTGAAGTCGATCCCAGCTGTCATTGGGTGAGACTATTGATTTTATTAAACACGGGTAACTGAGGAGTTAAACATTTTCTCAAAACTTAAAGGTAACTTTAAGATTTTCATGATTAGCATGTCACCCTCTGGTAGAAGAAATAGTTACATGTGTAAGAACTCACCAAAGTTACAAACACATGACTCAGAAGGTCTGACCACATTTGGGTTTAAGACAGCATACTTTTTCTTCTTCTGTCGGATGTGTACGGGGCTGTAACTGAATCTGATGTTTCCTTGTCTGACTTCCGGCTCGATCTGTTCTGTCCAGATTAAGCGTACTGTGTGGAGAATAGATCCAGAACATATTTGAAAAGGGGCAGAGCGTAGTGGCCCTACTGGAGACGGGCCGCAGCGCTCGCTGTAGACACACAGTACTGACCAGAGTGGCAGCGTAGAGCACGGCGCTGACAGTGTGGAAATCTAACACCTAAAAAAAACGAAGTCTGCGGGACAAAATTGTATGATTAGGAAATTAAGTCAAATCTAAACTTGGCTCTGCCAAAGGAAGGTGTTGCTTGATTTGTAATGGATTTGTTTTAGAGTGGAAATTACCAAAGCCAATTTCAGTTTCTCCTAAATTAGGAATTGGTATGTACACTTCAGATGTCTTTTCATTTAAATGAAATTGTCTCTTCATCGAACCGGTTGAGTGTTTAACCTCCTTATGACGTGCATGTCGTTCACTTAAACGTGGGTAAAGACTTATGTTTACATTCTGTTGTAGCCCTCTGTGCTTGCTGGTATTCAAGGACTTTTGGGTTTTGTTTTCTGTAAAACAAAAGACTGAAAAAATAAAAAAAATCAAGATACATTTTTCTGCCTTTCAAGTTCATTTTGTGGTGTGTACGTCTTCAAAAAAGCAGCAAGGAGGCCTTTCACACACTGCTTTTTTTCTGCTCTGCAATTGAATGAAGACAAAAGCTGCATCAGGGTTACTCGGTGTATCGCTCTTTTTAAAATGCCAAATGCAGCCGAGAAACCTTTAAAAGTCTGAGTTTGGTAAGACTGTTTGTGATCAGGTGCTCCTCAGATGAAGAAGACGAGCTGAAGTATTATTAAAGGTTGGAATCTATTTTCCTCAAGAACGGCCTGGGATTCAAAATAAACATTGTAGGAACACTTTTGTTATTACTGTTTTCACACTTGCAGAAATCTCCTGAAAAACTCAGGAGCTGCATGTGTGAACGCAAACAGCCAAATTTTTCACTCAGAGTTTCTCCTGCTAGACCCCGAGTATTTTGAGCTGATTTGAGAATGCCGCAGGATATAATCAGGAGAATTGCATGGTTAGCACTGACGAGTTTCTGTTTTTCTGATTGAGACGCTGGAGAGCCGATCTTTATGAAAACAAACAACCTTTATTGTCAAAACAGACATATTTAAAGTAGATCAGCCATGAAAGTGACAAACCGATAAACATGCAACAGGACAACACAAGCTAATCTGCTAAATACAGAGAAAAGTCTGAGACACCAGAGAATCGCTAACAGGCAGACCCCAGAGCAGCTCATTTTTAACCCCTTCCTGTCGATGGCGAGCTCAAACGGAAGGCAGTCAGAAGGATCTGAATACTGAAGTTCATGGTGCAGCGAATATGGACGTTCTAAAGACCAGAACAAAACTCATTTACGGCGTGTCAAAGTAGAAACGGTCGACATGCTGATAGTTTACTATGTTGCAGAAGAAGTCGGAAAAAAGCTCGATGTCAAAACTCTTTGTGTTCAGCAAAGATTTGTAAAAGCGAATTCGTCAAATACGAAACTGAACAGCTGCTGGAAACGAGTCGATGCTTTAGAATACTTTCAGCATTGAGCTTTGAGTTTTCTGATTAATTCCAGCAGTCAAAAGGCAAACCAAAGAAAACAGTTCTGGGATTATAAATCAGCCGAGCCGGGTCTGCTAACACAGGGGAGCCACTACACTACCTTGAATACAGAATACTTAGAAATAAGCACAGCCGGGAAACATTCAACACGTTCAACACTGGAAAAAATGTGAAAGCAGCAAAGAAACGGCCGAGTTGTTCATGCTGGATTTAAAATGTTTTAACTCGTTTTTTTTTTGTTCTTTCAGAGAACAAGAAGAGGTTTTTAACGGAGGACGATCTGAGAACGACAAACTGTTGTGTGTTGAGTGTTGCCCGGCCGGTGCAAGCTAACATAACACAGCCTTTAAAACACACGTGTGGCTGTAGGTGTGAGGGTTAAAAAATAAAAGATCGGAAATAAAGATTATTTTCAAAACATACTTTCAAATCATCTCCTGCAGAAACAAAGTGTTTGTGACGGAGCGTGCGTCTGGAAACCAGAGCGGTCCTTCAATCTGTCGGCCAAACGGAGCACATTAATGTACGGCCGATGTGTCGCCGGGTAACTTCCACGCCGTGATGTCATCGTGTAGAAGTTTCACTTTGGGATCAAACCGAGATGCTTCAACATGTTGCAAAGCATTTAGCTTCTGCTTCAAACAGCATGTGATGATGCAAAAATAAAAAAAAGCTGTTGAGTGTGCGGTGCATCATGGGAGATTAAATCCGGTTCGATTCCTGTTTAGCTGCTGTTTTTACACGTTAAACGCCGCTGCGCGACTCCGACCAGCCTCAGAGCGTCTTTCTGAAGCTGCAGCCGAGATAATGCAAAGATACTAAGACTGCTTCCTTAAAGAAATAACTTCCTGCTTACGGTCCAAGAATATTTAGTTTATTTATCTCCCGCTCTGCAGAGAGGATTATAAACTTCATGATTATCTGAACTTCTGTTTTCGTCACTTAAATTTTTTTTTTTTATTTTTTAAATTGGTGCATCACTAAAAACAAATGTACCTGTAAGGATCTAATAAAACATAACCGGCACGAGACGTTTTTAAACAAACCAGCACAGCTGCTTTTGAGCAAACTGAAAGTGTCAACGCGGCCTCCTTGATTTGAAGTTTTTACTCTACCCGTGAGGATAGCAGCATCTTAAAATACATGCCAATATTTAGATGGCGTGTTTGTGCAGAGAAACCGTTTTTTTTTTTTTAATCAGAGAGAAGCTGCAGCTAACCCTCCACTTAGTGAACACAAAAGGTCAGAACTGTAAAAATACAAACGTGGTTTTATTAAAACTTAACAGGAAGTCAGGTCGAAGCATAAGGTAGCTGAATCAAGGCTTGAGGCTGAAACTGCAGCGGTGTTTAAATGTTGGCTGATCAAACACGCGCGGCCGAAATCAAAGCTCTGTTCGCTCTGAACTGAAACTCCTCGTTATATTCATGTCCGAGTGAAATGGAAAGTCGTCTTTTGGCGTTTTGAGTTTTAAATCAGGGACCAGCGCTACACCAGCGATGATGAGAGTCCAGGTGGCACAAAGAAAACCGGTGTTTCACCTCTTTTTGTTACCGTCCAAAAGACATTCCCTCCGATGTATCCCGACACAGCAGGAAGGAAGTTTGTCCTCTGATCCGTCACAAACCACCGGCCTCTCCGCTGCAAGAAAACAACACTTTTTAAACGTTTTAAGAGAGGCCCGGTGATTTGTAAAGAGAGACAAACTATCCAGCCACAGTTTTACGTTCACACATGAACGCACACGTTTCAAGAGGTAGCGACGGCGTGTGTCGTTTCCCCGGTGTCTTTCCAACGCCAGGCGCCTGTCACCGGATGTACGAGACAAAACACTTTCATTGTAAGTTGACTGAAATAAGTTCTATAAACTCGGCTTGTGATGCCAAGGAGGGAAACTACCAGAACAAAAGGCACCAGTTCCATCAGGCGACACGTTGTTGGTGAAGGAAAAACATCTAAACAAGGATGTCAACATACCTCTTAAAAAAAAAAAAAAAAAAAAAAAAAAAGTTACATTTTCAGTCCAGATACAGACGGGAGCATCTTTTTGAGGGAAGGTCAGGTCTCCTCTTAGGGCAGGAAAACAAACTTCTTCTCCTCTCTCGCAGCTACGTTGGCAGTTCAATCCTGACCGTGTGGCGGCTCGTCGCCCCTTTAGCTGCCAAGGTCGCTGCTAGAAACAAAAACCTGGACAACAGTTCACCAGCGTGTCATTGATTTCCCGCCCTGCGCCCTCCTTCTCCTCCCTCCACTCATCTAGTCCTTTTTCTCCTCCTCCTTCTTATCCTCCTCCTCGGTGGGGTAGGAGTGCCAGGTGAGGCGCTCCTCGTAGAACGAGATGACCACCTGGGGACATTTGACGTTGGCCTCCTTTGCTGGGACGAGGTCGGCCTCATCAGAGTTCTTCCTGTTAAGTTCGAGAGAGAGCGAGTGAGAGGGAGAGAGAGAGGACAACAAAGGATTAAACAATGAGCACAGAATTTCTTTCCTCTCTGTTTTTTAGTTTGTCAGCTTTGGATGCCATCAGGGTTATAATTTCTTGATTTTGAAGATTGTGGCGTCTTTCTCTGGAGCATCTTTAACGGCTTTGTATCCCTAAAACCTGCAGAAACTGAAGGTTATGTTATAGTGCTCTCACACTCCGGGTGAGCTGAGGTTAGAATTCCCCTTGACATCACTCTGAGCTCTCTCTTCCTCTTTAATGAACAAGCTTCTTTTGTGGATCACAGACAGTCCATGGATGATAAAATACTTTCAGATATAATGAAGGTGTTGTGTTCATCACCCCTCGTCTGACAGGGATAGTCTCCCGCTGTGAGGTGTATGTGTGAACAACCAGATCAGGAGCAGTGTCCCACAATATGACCACCTCCTGTGGTCATATTGTGGGATTCCCATGTTTGTATAGAATACAAAAGAAGTGTCACAGATAACCTTAAATTAGGAAGAGGGAAAAGATTGAAGCTAGAGCGGTCAGCTGCATAAACAGTTAAGCTTCTAGCTATTAAGATGTTCCTTTTTTACAAGTTCAGAGGGTCTCTTTCCATTTCTAATGCATTATAAACTAGTGTTTCCATTTTGTTTTGTTATGAAGCAGCAGGACGCTGGAAACTCAAACTTCTCCCGATGACTGCGTTGCTGAGAAAGAAATGGTGAGTGGTCTCTAAAATCCCAACAAAGGGAGAGTCCACCTTAAAGGCTTTATATGTGAATTTTTGATCCAACAGATGTCGCCTTTGAGCACAAGCATGAAACCAAAACAACTTGCGGTGCATTGTTGTGTTAGCATGCTAATGCTAGTGATCTTTATTATGCTCGTATCTTCACACTGCATGTAAATTTACCTGAAATGAGCGTGATCTAGAAACACAGTTAAGCAGTGAGTACAGTATGTTATTCTTCTTTTCTCTAGTCCCTCAATTAGACAACTTTTATACGCAAGGGGAGGAGTCAGCCGGCCGTCCCGACGATGTAAACAAACTGAAGATAGAACTCAGAAAGCATCACAGACAGTGGGACTCGGGTGTTACACCCATTGTAGACAGTCATGACTCACAGAGTTATTTTCAGAGGACATACTTGATTTATATTACATTTAAGAGTGAAAAATCCCATAAAGCCTTTAAAGCCACCAGAATGAACAAACTGAGAGTGCAGACTCACCACTTCATGAGGAACATCAGCTCGCCGCTGGAGTCCGTCGCTCCGATGATCCTCTCCGGCTGCAGCCCTCTGCCGAACCCTCGAGCCTTCTCACCCTGGAGGAAGAACATAAAATAACCTTTGTGTTTAGGATCTCCTTTAATTTAGTTTTTCTGGCTAACTGCAGGGAGTTTAGTCTCTCTCCTTTGCTCACCTCCTCCTTCTTCTTCTTGCTCCCTCGCTCCTCAGAGTCTCCCGCAGCCTCGCTCGTAGCTTTCCGCTTGCCCTCCTTCTTCTTCTCCTCCTTCTCTCTGTGTTTCGTCATGTACTCTGCTATGAGGTCCGGGCAGTCGAGGTTCTCCGCAGGCTCCCACGTGTTGTCCTCCCTGCAGACGGGACGGATGAATGAACAATGACTTAGTTCAAGCTAAGTCTGTTTGTGATCAGCCAATCAGCTCTTCTTACTCGTTTCCTATTAATGTTTTTTATTTGTTCCATACATGTCAAAACACACAACAGAAAAGGACAAATAAAAAAATAAAAAAACAATTCACACTTTATCCCATGTACGGTAAGGAGCAGTGAGAAGAATAATTCTTGTTTTGACTGCCCCTTACTCAAAAAGCAACAATAAATGTCTGGATGGTCTGTCCAAATTACAATCAATGAATATCATGCCAACATAAAACAAATCTGACAATTCAGTCTTCAGTCTAAAAAACATACAGAACACACTAACTGCCACTTTCATACCATCTGATAACTTTGTTCTTGTACATTTTCTTAAACTGAAATATCTGAACACAGCCCTTCAAATCATTATTTAAAGAATTCCACAATTTAATTCCAATGACAGAAATACACTTCTGTTTTAAAGTTGTCCTCGCAAACTGATGCTTAAAATGAAATTTTCTTCTATGCTCTTCATCTTCTGAGCTAAAAACAAACGTCTTTTGTAAACCTTCTGGTAATACTTTACTCTTTGCTCTGAACATAACTACAAGTGTCTGTAACTCAACTAAATCTTTCAGTTTCAATAAACCTGATCTTAAAAACAGCCCGTTGTGGTGTGCTCTCTATAGTGGACTTCATGAATGATTCTTACCGCTCTTTTCTGTAAAATAAATAACGGATTAATGTTTGTGATGTAAGTGTTACCCCACACTTCAACACAATAATTAAAATAAGGCAAAATAAGTGAACAATACAAAATCCACAGTACCTTACAATCCAAGAGAAACTTTGCTTTGTTTAAAACAAAGATATTCTTAGACACTTTTTTTTAACATGAGCTATATGTGATTTCCACGTTAACTTATCATCCATGATCACACCCAAAAAACGAAATTCAGACACTCTTTCAATATTAACTCCATCTATAGACAACAAAATGTTTTCATCCTTTTTTTGGTTTGCAATAATCATAAACTTAGTTTTATTCAAATTTAAGGATAACTTATTTTCGTCAAACCATGCTTTTAATTTGACCATTTCATTTTCAATACTTCCTGTTAGAGTTTTTAAGTCATGTCCTGAGCAAAAAGAAATTGCATCATCAGCAAATAAAACAAACTGCAGTAACTTAGAAACTTCACATGTCATTAATGTACAAATTAAAGAGTTTAGGCCCCAAAACGAGCCTTGTGGGACTCCACATTCAATATTCAAATACTCAGATGTACTACCAGAAAATTGTACATATTGCTGTCTGTTACTTAAATAGCTACTTAACCAGTTCAGATCAACTCCTGTCACACCATACGTATATAATTTAGAAATTAATATTTTGTGATCTATTGTATCAAATGCTTTTTTCAGATCAATGAACACACCAATTGTGTATTTTTTACTGTCTATTGCTGTATAAATTTCTTCTGTTATTTTCATTAATGCTAAAGCTGTAGACCGGTTCTTCCGGAATCCAAACGGACTCTCACTTAACAAATTAATTTTTTCAATAAAATTATCTAATTTTTCTGCAAACAATTTCTCAAGTACCTTTGAAAATTGTGATAATACGGACACTGGTCTGTAATTAGTAAAGCTGTGTTTGTCTCCTGTTTTAAAAAGTGGAATTACCTTCGCTATTTTCATTCTATCTGGAAAAATACCTGTACGAAAAGAAAGATTGAAAATATGGCTAAGAGGTTGAATTATACAGTCGATTGTCTTTTTCACAATAATCATATCAATCCCGTCACTGTCAGTTGATGTCTTATTTTTAGATTTTGCCACAACAGATCTTATCTCACTCTCATTCACTTCTTCGAGAAACATAGACTGCAATATTTGACCTTCTCTATTCCAGCCACCTGCCATTTGACAATCATTTTGTTTTTTAATAGACTTTGCGAGATTAGGTCCAACATTTACAAAAAAATAATTAAATTCATTAACCACTTCATTCATGTTCTCAAAAATCTCATTATTGTCGTTCTTAAGACAGCTCGGTGTACTTGTGGACACAGGATTATTTCCTAACACCTTGCTCATAATTTTCCATGTACTTTTGATGTCATTTTTGTTTCCCTGTAACACTATTATAATAATCTTTTTTGGCTTGTCTAATTAGAAAAGTCAACTTTTATAAGCCTTATATTGCCTTTCTGCATCCTTTGTTCAGAATTTAATAAAGTCCCTGTAAAGTTTGTTTTTCTTCTTGCATGCATTTTGCAAGCCCTTTGTAATCCATGGCTTTTTAATATAACTAACTTTTTGCTAATATTGAGTGATGGGACAATGTTTATTGTAAAGGGATAAGTATCCATTCAAAAAGGAATTATAGGAATCATTTATCTCTTCTACATAAACACCTTCCCACTGTGCTTTGAAAAGATCATTTTGAAGTCTATGTATTGCTTCATCAGTTCTTACCCTTGCATATCTGTTACAAACTTCATTCTTCTTGCTCTTTATTTGACAGTCATTTATTGAAAACACTGTTAAATGGTCACTTATGTCATTAATTAATAGGCCACTTCTGGCATTATTTTGCACAACATTTATAAAAATATTATCAATTAATGTTGCACCTGAAGATGTTATCCTACTGGGCTTGGTAATCAGTGGGTATAGCCCTCTGCTATATAATGCATCAAGGAAATCTGATGTGGCTTTGTGTTTAAATGTAATTAGGAGATCTATATTAAAATCCCCACAAATAATACATGTTTTTCTTTCATTTAACATATCCATTAATTCTTCCAGTTTATCTTTAAAAATATTTTAAGTTGGTGTTCTGTACACGCAACTTACAAAAATATTTCTGTTCTTTTCCATTTCAATTTCCACAGTTATACACTCCATTAAATCATCAATTGCTGTCGTCATGGATTTAACTGGTTTGCATTTCAGGTCACTGTCTACAAGCAGGGCCACACCCCCTCCCCTCTTATTGCTTCTGTTCATATAATGTAACTCATAACCCTCATTATGAAAATCAACACCTTTTTCTTGATTTAACCACGTCTCAGATAAGGCTATCAACTTAAATTTACCTTGAAATGAACTCAGATATTCATTGATCTTGGTGAAGCTCGCATAAAGACTTCTACAATTGAAATGTATTAACGAAAATCTATTGTTTAATTCAAAATTGTCTTTGAAATCATTATCAGTATAATATTTACACGTGTCATTAATGTGATTAAACACATGACTCTCTGGGTCGACATCCAATTCAAAATCATACATTTTATACTCCTGGGTTTCAGATCTGGAAAGGACTTGGCTTCCTATTGTTTCAGTCATTTGTTCGTTTTAGAAAGATGTATGTGCCCAAAAGGAAACACATTTGTCTCTGCTTTTATGATCTGCGCATACCTTTTTAATCTTTTTCTCCTGCATGCCGATCCATAGAGTCCAGTATTGTCTTTATACCACGCATCAGGTCACTCGCTGGTTTTCTCTTGCTCTTGGAGCGAGCCCTCTCCCAGCCTGCTGCCTGCAGTGTTGACTCTAAGTCCAGCTCCCCAGCTGGAATCTCCATGTTGATGCCGAACTCACGTAAACCCTCTGCCGCGACTGCAGGATTGTCAAACACCTTGAATTTCCCGTCCCTGTCAAATACTTTCAGTCTGGCTGGAAAGAGTATACGAGACTTGATCTTTCTTTCCTGAAGTTTTCTCACTTATCTGTATTTTGCTCGTTCCTCGAACACCTGAGCGGTGAAGTCTTCGTCAAAATAAATCCTGTGGTCATTCATCCAAATATCCTTCTTTGCCCAGACAGCTTGAAGCACCCTTTGCCTATCGTTAAAGTTTTGAAAACGGACTATTATTGACCTAGGACGTTCGTTATGTCCGGTATATGGTCCGGCTCGGTGTGCCCTCTCTATCTTGATGGCCTCGTTAACATCCAGTTTCTCCTGTATTATGGTTTCCACAAATGCAATCATGTTATTTCCCTCGCATTTCTCAGGCACTGAATAAATTCTTAGATTTTTTTCTCCGAGCACGGCCTTCAGTTTCCTCACATTTTACTTCCAATTGTTTCTGCAGGCGCAGACTGTGGATGAGCACTTGTGTCACGGCAATGTCACGATCCTCGTTTTCCGCAATTCATAATTCGGCTGCGTCCATTCTCACTTTTAGTTGTCCGGTGTGTTCTCTTTCATATTCATTTATTTCCTTCTTTAATGCTCCAAAGTTCCCAGCAGTTTCCACACCGAATTCCCTGATTTCTTTTAAAATCTTAGAAAGACCCGAGATTCCTTGCATACCTGCAACAGGTGGTGTTTTCTCCTGTGGATTGATTGAGCAGAGTTCTGCCTGCTTCTGTCTTTCTAACTTTGTCGCGTCGACATTTTCTTCTTTTCCCAACTGAGAAAAATATATTTTGACGAGCTTGTTTTTGTACAAAATGCCCAAAGTTAATTCAAAAAAATTAATTCAAAACAGTTCTAATTCACAAATGTTTGTGGAGCGTTAAATCTCAGCCTCCCCTAGCATGGACAGCCATCCTGCCGCAAACACGGCGTCCTGTTAGTGTTGTATCATTTTGTCATAAATTGTCAGCCGCTCGATTCAATGGTTTCCTTCTCGAGTGTGCAGTGAGCGATGCACTGTCATCCTACGTCTTTACCCAGACGTCACATTTCTATTTTCATTCCTGTCACTCCAATGGACAAAGGAACTATACAAGGTGCATAAATAATGACTACATCTGTGACTCAAGTCAACTCAGGAAAAACTTTATTTAGCCCTCTGAGTTGATTACTGAACGAGCCTGAGTGATTTCAGCTCACTGCTTGCAAAGAGAAAACTGAAAATCACAGACGCAGTGTGGACAGCGAGCGTCCGTTGCTGCGTGATGCTACACGATATCTAACAACCGCGTGATAATGGGACGCAGAATGAGGAAGGTGTGTAAATTCCTCATGTAAAATTACAATCCTATTCTATTTGATGAATATATTTCTACTGCTATATTGTACATTTTGGAGCAACTGCAACGATCGAATTTCCCTCTGGGATCAATAAAGTATTTCTAATTCTGATAAATTGCAGAGACACCTTGAGACAAAAATGTAAAATAACTAATAAAAATAGATTTTTATTCGACTGTTTCTGTTTTTGTGAATAATCAGTTAAGTACCAAAACACGATATTGACTGAACACCTGGTGTTGAAATGTGAACCATCCCCTCTCCTCCTGGACTCGTACTCACTCTGAGAAGCCCTTCCATTTCAGCAGGAACTCCGCCTTGCCTTTCACCACTCGGCGGTCCAGAACCTTCTCCACCACATACTCCTCCTCTTCCTCCTCCTCAGCTGGTGCTGGATCTGCTGCAGCTGCAGCCGGATCCGCCGGTGGTGGCGGTGCTGCTGCTGCTGCTGCTGCTGCTGCTGCTGCTGCGGCGGCTGGTTCAGCTGCTGGAGCTGCTGCAGCTGCAGGCTCCTCCTCCTCAACCTTCTTGGCCTTCTTTCCTGCTACGGTCGCCAGCTTGACGTCTGCTGAGGGCACCTCTGGTGGACGAAGAGGACGCAATCAGAAATTTACACAGAATAACCCGCAATACTCAGACTTTATCAACATCAGAGCGCGCAGAGCGGAAACCAAATGAACAAGGAGACCTCAGAAAGACAAAGCGACATGTTTGCACTTTGTTCTCTTTGTCACCACATCATCTTCTGGTTCTCTTGTGACGCCATGAGCAGCTGCGTTCATGCTCCAGAGACGGATCCAGTGTGGCAGGCTGCACGCCGCCCCGACGCAGCAACACTGTGGCACTGACGGAACGCATTGCGCTACTATGTGGAAAGGCGGTAGACTTACCACGAGCTACCAGAGTGTGAAACGACGGTTTAAGCTCCTGTAGGAGACACGAGTTCGTTTGACATCGACCTCGAAAGACAAAAATGGTATTTGAGTTATCGGGAAAAGAACCAAGAAACCCGTGATCATGTTGTCGCCTTGCCTCGCCGTACACACATGTACCTTTGCCTTTTTCGATGCAGTTTTTGCAACGTTTCCAAAAATATAAGTTTTGAGGTAGCTGGTTGGCTAGGTTTCAGTCTCTTGTTTTTAGTTCGATCCCTCAGCTCATGCAGCGACGCGGCCGATGAGTCCTTGGTCAAGACACTTAACCCCATGTTGCTCTCTCTGCCTAGTCTGCAGCTTATTAATGTGTATGAATCGATTAGTTAGAACTAGGGATGTAATGATTCACTAAACTCACAATACAATTCATTTTACAAAACATTCCATTAAGAGCTGTGTGGTCGATTAAAAGCTGCATCATGTTAGTCGTGCTATTTGTGTAGATCCCCGTCTTCTTGTAATATTTGCACAAAGTTTTTGTCTCATCTGTTATCTTCTCACCTCTTTTATTTTCTGTCTTGGGGAAGCCAAAATGCTTCCACGCCTCAGATTTAAAACACAGTGGTGCATCTTCAATTTCTAATTCTTGCTCTACCGCTGCTGACGCTCACCATATAATTGCAACTCATTTATTTAGAGTACCGATGTGAATCTTGACAACGTTTAATCGATTTATCACGATTAATCTTTACATTAAGATACAGGCCTCAATTCGATTTTCCATTTTTATCAGAATGTTTTTAAAACTCGTTAAAAATGTGTTGCTCAGACTGGTCATTTAGAACCAATCAGGCCACGGGGGGCGGGATATAAAGGCCCATCATGAGCCCCGCCCCTCTCTGCAGGCTGCAGCCAAGTAACCTTAAAGACCAGGCCACACAGGGGGGGACTTTAAGATTACCCCAGCGAGGTCTTAGTTCTCGGCACAGCATTCCCCGTCAGCACAGGCAAACGTAAATTATTAATTCAAGTCAATTTACAACCGAAAATGTGTCTGTAAGGAGAACAGCGGATGTAGGTGTTGTGTGCGGTTTGGTAGAGAAGCAGAAAAACGCCCCCTTCACATGCTCGCGAGCATCGTTGAGCGTGATTAACTGCACAAAAAGATAAAAGCACGCCGATACTTCTCGCACACATTTAGCCACATGTGCAGAGTATGTTTGTGTTTATAAAAGTGGCGAAGGGGCCGGTTAACCGATTCATGAGAGGCGGAGCAGCCAGCGTGATCAACGGGTTCGAGCATCATGTCTGTCTGCCTCGCGTGCACCTCTGAACACTTTTACGATAGGTAAAAACAAGTTTGGGCAATTTCTTTCACTCTTTGGTCACATTATCCATCAAAAAAACGAACACATGAGCAGCGAGACGACCCGGGCGGCCTGCCCCCACGACAAGAGGGCAACATGGCTGGCGTTTGCGCCTTCAACAGCGAGCTAGCACGAGCCTTACCTTTGCAGAGAAAGCTTCGGAGCGCTGATTGGGCAGGCGGTAGGCCCGAGAGACAACACCGCGATGTGTCGGTCTGTCGAGGAGAGGCAGTCAGCGGCGACACAAATCTACCCGAGGGGCTGTGCCGCGAGGTTTGGTTCAGATTATCTTCAATGTGCACTGCGATAGAACAACACAATGGCCTGCGCGTCGCTAAACAACCAGAAACGATCCCGTTCTGCCCGCCAACACCGCCGGAAATTACGTAAGTAGGCAGTTTGGTCCGCATGGGGATTGTGGGAAGTGTAGTTTTGCCAGCTATATTGCGCTCAGGAGCCAATCGAAGGGCCCCATAACCCGGGTTTAGAGGTATTTTTTTTAACTTCACTTTGTTAAGAAGCCTTAAACAATTCATCTATATACACCTCTAAAATCATACAAACTGATGTATTTTTTTGTTTTATTTTTTACGATTATGAGTACAGGATAACTTTTTCGTTTTTCAGTTTGTGTTTTTCCTTTTTTTATGAAGCACTTAATAATTCACCTTGAGAACACAGAGCTGAGTTTGAACCAAGGGGCAACCTCCGGTCTCGAAAAATGAAGCCTATGCGGAAGTACAAAAAACTGCAGTTCCTCGAGGTTCCGCTTGAGGCTGGCTGCAGAAGTGCCGGAAGTGTCATAAGCCCACAGCCAAAAAACCCTGTTTTTACCACAGGAATCTACATGTTTACAGCCTGGTTCAAAAAACGAGATATATCTGAGAAGTTGACGGCCCCTTCTCTTCACACTGTGGGGGGGTGATTTTTTTTATAACTCATCGGATTTTATTCTATTAAGGAAAACGACTATGCCCATATTTGGTTGTGTCAGATTTGATTGACAGCTCTGCGCGTCAGCAGGTCAGGAGGCTAACAGCTTGATATGTCTGATTTCTCCTCTTTCTTACTTCGTTTGGAGAGTTTGTTTAACACATATCTGACAACATACACTGCTTGCTGTGCGGTTAACAGACCATCCAACAAGTTGATGCTTCAGTTTTCTTCGGTAAGTGATATAGTAGTGTTATATTTACTGCTTACTCGTGTCGGTATTTATATTTACGGACCTAGCTTGTTTAGCATTAGCTTGTAAACCAGTCGGCTATCTGTGTAGCTCATTATTTACATTATTTACGGTCAATGGTTTAGAAATGTTTGTTAAGATGTTGTTGAAAATAATGAGTTTGTGTGATGTTAGAAGCTAAAGGTTCACCTCGGTGGTTATCTGACGTTATGATGAATGTTATACTCCACCTAAATGTGGACATTAAAAAACAAACTTTGTGTATTAATTATCCGTCAGTAACATAAACTGAACTGAACCTAATGTGCTGTGTAGGTTATAGAGGATGACATTAATGTTACATGGTTGATGTAGTGTCTTAAGATTTGTACAAACTGTTAAATAAAAAAAAAATGCACTTTGTAAGAGCATCTGTAACCATTAAGAACTATATTAATAACCATATTAATTTTCACTGAACTCATACACAGAATATAGCAGTAGAAATATCAATAACATATGAAATATGTATGAAAATAAGATTTAAAGCACATAGATATAAAGTATAAGAAATAGTTTGAAGAATACAGCCATGTACTGAGCTCATGTTAATAATAAATGAGTTACTGTATGTTCTGTACTGAAGCACAGAGAGTTGGGACCTGTTAATGATTTAAATAATTCAGGTTATATTTGTTCCATGTTAAGATGAAGTACTATCCACAATAAACTGCTTATTTTTTCCTCACCCAAAATCTGAGACCATTTGATGTGGAATATCATTGTGTGAGTGAGAGAGCTGAAAATAGCATGATTACAATAAGGTTTATCTTCTTAACTTTGAATAGATGTTGATTACCTGAATACTGTACCTTTGTTGTCTGGGTAGTACACTGTTGGATTTATAAATGTAATCTTACACACAGATGAATACCGAAAAATAGATGAGAACAAAAAAACGATTTAATGAATAACTGATATTTTCTCTCTTTCTTTGCCATCCTGAAGACCCCTCACTAAAAGTCCATGTTCTCCTGGATCCATGTCACATGCTCGAACTTCTTCAGAATGACATTTCAACAGTCGAAGTTCTGGTGAGAGAAGATGGCCAGCAGACAGGACAGCAGTACATGAAGGAGCTCCACAGGCTTCAGGAGGAGGAGGAGGGTTTGCACCTTGGAAGACTGTATTCATGCTTCAGCTGTTCAAATAAAAATAGATCTCCTCCAAACAACTTGGAATCAAACTATTTTCTTCCCATTTTAAAACCCTTTGTCCAGTTTAGATGGGAGAAGTTGATATTATGTGATATTGATCTGGGAAGACTACATTTCTAAATCATTTTTAACTGTGTTTTTATTCACAAGTTATTGATCTTATTTACTCTCCATGTATCTTGATTTAAGAATGGGGCTGTGTTTAAGGGCATATTTTTGCAATGACTCTGTTCCATCCCATTTTCAGAAATGAACTACATTAGTATTTATCAAAAGAATAAAAAGTTGTGTAAAAGTAGACTTCCTTCCCTAAGCTGTTGAGTTGAGCATTAATGCACATTTTAGTCTTGTCATTTCAAATCTGAAATGTATACACATAAGTAGACATTAAGGAGTGCATTTATATAGAAATATTTATTTAATCTGAAAAACAACATTAAAAAAAGCCTGTTTTTACAGCAGAGATTAACATGTTTACAGCTTGGTACAAAACAAAGAAATAGGTGTGATTAGCTCATGTCTCGATGGACACACACTGTACTGGGGGTGAATGTTTTGATGACTCGTCAGTTTTGATTTGATGAAGGATAAGAGTTATTCACAATAAGGCGTGTAGTTGACCAGCTTGACAGGCGGGTGCGGTGTGACGGTTTGTCAAGAGGCTTAAAACCCGTCTCAGCTCTCAGTCTGTGGGTGACATCACTCAGGCCATCCGGGGGAGACCTCCCTCACAGCGAGCTGTTGAAGAGAAGCAACTGAAGTCCACCCCAGAAGAACCAACAAATACAGATGTTGTTGAGGCTCAGGTTTCTTCCTCTGTCTCTGCAGCTCTCTGGGCACCTCGACGGACAAGTCACCAATAATCCACACTGTGTCTATAGGAGAAATACAAAGGTGTTCAATTAATGCCTCAGACAAGACAAAATGGACAGTTAACTACATGTGACAGCTCAGGTGTTTTTTTGTTATTAGCCACATCTTCAGGAATAATATTGAACAAGGTAGCTGCAACTCATAATAATAGATGCCAGTCTTAACACTATTTTTTCTAATACTTAAAGTTTTTGGTGTGAAGCTGACACTGTCCACAGACTCCATGACTTCACGGGGTTCTATAGAAAACAAATATCTTATAATAAATACTAAATAATGATTTTTCAATTGTCATGTTCTCCCACATCGCTGTTGACATCAGTAAATATAAGACACAGACATTCCTCTTTTTGTCAGAACAGTAACATGAACTGTATGCTTTGTAATATTGATTTCTTCTGGATGTCTCATATTTATTTACAGTCTATGGATAAAACTTTGTTAATGTATTTCTCTTCTAACACTGACAAAGTCTAACTGCTCTGACAAATAACTAATAACCATAGTTGTATATTTAAAGACTAGAGTAGTTTTAAGACTTCAATTAAATATTTGGTTGAATATAATTAGTTTTAACTGTGTTGTAGAAAAGTTAAATGTTAACTTACTGTTTGTAGAGTTTTCTCAGGACGAGCAGGAATAGAGGATGATAGCAGCCTAGCTGTTAGCTATGCTGTCAAGTGGACTGCTAACGTCGAGCTGAATGGGCGGAGTTAAGTCCCGCCGGTCCCGCCTTACTGCTGTCGTTAGGTTGATCCGAAGTTAGGTTGAGACTGCAAATCCAATATGGATGCGGCCGTCGTTTGGACTCATTTTCTGCCTATGTCACAGACGGGTCAGGGTTCGTCCAGTAATATTTACAGTCTATGGCAGGGGTGCCCAACCTTTTTTGAACCAAGATCTACTTTTAAAGTTACCAGTCTGCCGAAATCTACCAGTCCACATAGTGAGCCATAGCCTTTACCAACAGCCTACAAACGCATTTAATACTCACACAACAAACAGAAAATAATAAATGAGAGTTCTGTAAAAAATAATGCAATATCGACATACTTTTTTTTAAACTCTTATTTTAGGGTAGGCTACATTTTAATATTAAGTTTGTATTTATATCACATATGTTTTCCCCTTAATTTAGTTTACAACAAACAACTTTAATCTGTGTGGAGATGTTCACAGACTACAGCAGGCTGCTGTGAGATGATTTTGCTTTTGTTAAATTAGCTGCAGACACCGCCTCGGTCCGTAAAGATCACGGATCAACTGTGTGCTGTAGCACTAAAAGTAAAAAGTAAAAAGGTTCGCGTGGTGGCTGGCGCTCCAGTGCAAGTGTGTGTGTGTGTGTGTGTGTGTGTGTGTGTGTGTGTGTGTGTGTGTGTGTGTGTGTGTGTGTGTGCGCGTTTGCGCTGTATGTTGGTGTGCCCCGCGATGCTCACAGTCATGACAGCAGAGAGGAGCAGAGAAAAGTAGCTGCAGCTTCATCAAATGCGCTTAATACTCGTAGCATAGTTTCTATATATGACTTTTTGGTAAAACATTTACCCCCCGGTTTTACCTGCACGTCATTGCGCTTGCCTGCACTCTCTCTCTTGCGCGCTCTCTCTCTCTCTATCTCCGCCGCGCGCTCTCTCTCTCTCGCTCCCCCGCTCGCTCTCTCGCTCGCTCTCTCATGCACGCAGCAATTTCATGAATAAATGAAAAATTAAATACAAACAGGTCGAAGTATACTTGGCTCCCCACACAGGTATCGTGTGTGGGAAAAACTGCAATGAGATGAAATTGAAATCACTTTTCTATTTTACAATTGTATTTTATATTGACTAAACATCTCGCGATCGACTGAGAATCAGTCAGCGATCTACCTGTCGATCGCGATCGACTGTTTGGGCACCCCTGGTCTATGGGTTCAACAGAGACCGGAAGTAGTGGACTAATGGGATGCGGTTCTGAGGTGAGCACCAACTCTTATTAAACTTACACCATTAGATTGATTAGGTTGCTGCACAGAACCTGCTCTGTTAATATTTACAGTCTATGGTTCTAGTTGAGTTTGTGATTTCCGGTGTAAAAACAAAATGAGCTTTGAATTCTTCACAATAATATTTAACTTTGCATCGACGTCTGGATGGATGGATGGGTCCTTTGCATTACACCGTCACACCAGCAGCTGAAATCACAGTCAAGACACCACACGAAAATACTAACAAATACCATTTAGGCACATAAAACAAGACATCAAAAATACTAAGATCAGTCTAAACTTCTTTTGGAGATATTAATATTTAAACAAGTAGGAAAACAGTGACAGCAGCTTTATATTAGGATTCATTGAGATTTCACACAAAATAAAGAAGTAGAGTAAAAGTTGAAAATACAGAAGTAATGTGGTAATAACCTGTTGGGATCAACCCAGTTCTGTTTATATTTCCCCTTTTTTTTCTTTCTTTTTTTTTTACATCTGAACTTGTTTGTAAAGATTGAACAGTGAGTTTTGTTACTAGATGAAATCCTCAATGAAGTGCATTAACCTTTATTTCCATAAACATTACAAATGATTATTATTAAAGTTGTAAGTGATGAAAGAGATTATCTGACTGATTTTTCAAGTGTGTTAAAATCCTATTTCTAATACTTCCCGGGTTCTGGTGTCTCGATTCTGAGATTTAAGTCAAAGTCAATCCAAGAGAAGCCATTTGTTTTACAGCAGTGAGTAAAACAATAAAAAGATCTGAGATGCAAACACACAAAGAGCACTGAAGTCTATTGTAAATATTGGCATTAAATTACAGGGTCACAACATAATATCCTCCAAATGAACAATTTATGCTCTAATTGCTATTCCAGTGAATGTGTTTAATTGCACACTTGTTTTACGCTATAATTAGGAATATTACAACTCTCAGAATGTGATATGAATCTTTATTACCCAGTTTGTTTGTCAAGGAGAGTGCTGATAAAATGCCAAAATGAGAAGGCTTGTTCCCAGGGTACTATCTTTAAAACAAATAAAGAAGTGTAGGACAATAACGTCGGCAGTTTTAAAGAAGTTACAGGAAGCAGAACCCAGACATGAACACTCACAGCACGTTCTGTTTGCATTTAAAGGTGACATATCCTCCTCCTCCTCTTCAGTGTAAATAAGTCTCAGAGCTCCTCAAAGCATGTGTGTGAAGTTTCTTGTTCTAAATCCACTCTGATCCTGTATTTGATCATGTTTATAAACCCCTCTATTTTAGCCCTGCTCAGAACAGGCTGTTTCTGTGTCTGTACCTTTAAATATGTAAATGAGCTGTGTCTGACCACTCCCCCTCTCTGGGTGGCTCGGGCTTTTCTGCTCCATGTCCTATTGTTTACGGTGAGAAGGCAGACTCAGAGGGCAGAACAAACACCTAGCTGTGGGAGTGTCACCCACCTGGGGGAGGGGCTACTGCCCTTTGTGATGTCATCAAGGGAAAATCTACAAACGGCCTGTTTGAGCACACATTTTCTGAAAAGTGGGGCAGGCAAAAGACGGAGAGGATGGACTTTTCTCATCATTGGGGGGTTTATAGACAGACTAGAGACACATATTAGTGTTACAGAAACATGGTGAAGTGTATTTTTCATCATATGTGACCTTTAAGGTTGTCATAATGTGGGATCCTTCAATCTGGCAGAGGAATGAATCCATTCAGTTACGGCAGCATCAGTGACCATGATGTCAAGACAGCTTGAAAGAGGGCCAGCTTTGTGTCTCTGTAAACTCCAGATTCATGCTCTACATGACATATTATTCTGTCTCTGATTCCAGGTTGTTGCACAGATATCCAAACTGTCCTTTGAGATCAGGGCACAGCAATGGCGTCACATGTGGAGCTCCTCTTTGGAGTCCTGCAGGATTTGGGGAACGACGAGCTCAAACAGTTACAGTGGTTCCTGAGGCAGCCTGGCATCGTAGATGGCTTCCCAGCGATCCCGAAGAGCGAGCTGCAGGAGGCAGACAGACAGGACACGGTGGATCTGATGATGCAGACTTACGGCCTCCCTGCCGCTCTGCACATCACAGCGGAGGTCCTGAAGAAGATCAGCAGAAATGATTTAGTGGAGCATTTATCCAAAAGTGCATCTGAACCCAACAGTCAGTCCTCAAAATATTCTTTAGAGGTTGTGAAATGATCTATAAAGAATCGTTGACTCCTCTTACTGGGGTTAAAGGTCATGAACTGAATCAAAGCCATAGCAACAGTCATGTGCCTGGATTTACATTATCATCCAAACACCCTGTCTCTCTTTACCTCCTCTCTCTCTCTCTCTCTCACTCTCTCTCTCTCTCTCTCTCTCTCAGATGTTGTTGCTGACGTGAGAAAGACGTCAGAGAACACAGGAACTTCTGAGCAGCTCACAGTTCATCTTCTCCCTCAAACATCAGCCACCCAGGCTAAAGGTAAAGCTGTTTCACACTTTTGACAGACAACATCATGACTTCCAGTGTGAAGCATCTGAACATTTCCATTTCATTTTGGGATCAGTTCTAAAGTTGTAGCAAATCCAAGTGCTAAGTAAATATAACACTTTGGAGATGTCAGGATGGATTTAGCCCTCCTGACATCTCCCATTAGTTTGTTAGCTGCTTTTATGAAGCCCCAGTTTGACATTTTGGCCACTGTCATGATCGTTCTTTTGCAACCAGAAGTGACCATATTTGGATGAGACAGTGGAGCTTTAGGGGTTAGCAAATATGAACTGGTCAAATTTCTGTGCCCATGGCTACTTCATTAGCTGGCAATCGAGTTGGAAACCAAATCATGTTTCCCAATGAATGAGATTGTATTTACAGTGGTAGCTGACTAGAGGTTTTACTGGAGCTGCAGTGTGTCCTGCATTGTTGTGTTAGCGGGCTAATGTTAGCACACTGTATTTAACTCGTAGCTTTACACTGCATTAAAATTTTCTTGGACTGACCCGTGATCTTAAAACGCTTACATGACATCCAAATAATCAGTGAGTATGTTCTTCTTCTCTTTAGTCCTTGACTAAAACAGCTTTTATACACAAGGGGAGGAGCCGGCCGTCCCGTCTATGTAAACACAGCTCTGACAACAACACAGCCAGCGGGACTCGAGCTTCTCACTCATTGTAGACAGTCATGACTCAGAGACATTTACACAGGATAGACTGGATTTATGATATATTTATGTGTAACATGTTACCCTTACTCCACACAGATTTGTTGGTGCAAAGACCGAAACCCCCGAGACACATCACATTTTACCAACGCATGCTGCAGTCAAACCTCCAGAACAAGTTTATGTGTACACGAGAGGGGTTGGAAAAGCAGTGGGATAAGAAACTCGTGAATGAGATCTACACAGAGCTCTACATCATAGACTGGAATGATGTAGATGTTAACAGGCAGCATGAAGTCAGACATATTGAGATGACATCAAGAAAACCAGGAGGAGCTGAGAGAGCCATCCAGCACAATGACATTTTCCAACACCACTCCGGAGAAAACATACCTGTAAGAACTGTCCTGACCAATGGGATTGCGGGAATCGGTAAAACGTTCCTAGTTTCTAAGTTCATCCTAGACTGGGCTGAAGGACGAGCCAATCAAAACGTGCACCTCATATTCCCCTTCACCTTCCGCCAGCTGAATTTACTGAGCGGGAGAAGGTTTCGTTTAGCAGAGCTCGTTCACACCTGTATCAGGGAAAGTCGAGATATCACAGAGGAGGCTCTGAACGACATCTTTACAAACCTTCAGGCTTCAGGAAACACCAACTATGGCAAAAGTACATTTAAACTTCTCTTTGTGCTCGATGGGCTGGATGAAAGTCGTCTGCAGCTCGACTTCAGTGAGCAGGTAGAACGTGCAGTGGATGAGCCGCTGTTGGTGAATGAACTGCTGGCAAACCTCATCAAAGGGAAGTTTCTCCCGTCTGCTCGCCTCTGGATAACCACACGACCTGCGGCGGCCAATCAGATCCCTCCGGATTCTGTCGACATCATGACAGAGGTAAGAGGGTTCACTGACACTCAGAAGGAGGAGTACTTCAGGAAGAGATTCAGCGACGAGGAGCAGGCAACAAGAATCATCTCCCACATCAAGACGTCACGCAGCCTCCACATCATGTGCCACATCCCTGTTTTCTGCTGGATCACCGCTACAGTTTTTAAGAAAATGTTTGGAGAAGACGAGAGCAGAGAAATCCCTCAAACTCTGACGGAGATGTACATCAAGTTCCTTATGTTTCAGATCAAGCAGACGGAACAGAAGTACGACAAAGGTAGAAACTTCAAAGTCATCCATTCACTTGCAAAGCTCGCCTTCCACGAGTTACAGAGAGGACATTTGATCTTCTATGAATCCGACTTGAGAAGCAGCGGTATTTGTTCCAATGAAGCGTCGGTGTACTCCGGTGTGTTCACACAGATCTTTAAAGAAGAAGACAGGCTGAACGAAGATAAGATGTTCTGCTTTGTGCATCTGAGCATTCATGAGTTTTTGGCAGCCGTTTTCGTCGTCCTCTCAGTCATCAATAACAAGAAAGATGTGATGGCTCAACCACAAACACCCCTGCAAACACTGCAGATGGTTTTCAGGAAATCAACCATCACCAAGGTCTGTATGAAAGCTGTGGACAAGGCCTTGCAGAGTCCCAATGGACACCTGGACTTGTTCCTACGCTTCCTCCTTGGTCTTTCGTTGCAGTCGAATCAGGATCTTTTACAGGGTTTGCTGAAAGAAGGAGAACGCAGTGCAGACACGCAGAAGAAACTAGTAGCATACATCAAAGAGAAGATCAGGGAGAACTCTTCTCCGGAAAGATGCATTAACCTTTTCCACTGTCTGAGTGAGCTGAAGGACAGCTCGCTGGTCGAGGAGGTCCGACATTACCTGAGAACAGACAGTCTCTCCACTGCACTCCTTTCTCCCGCTCAGTGGTCAGCCCTGGTCTATTTGTTACTGTCTTCTGATGAAGACCTTGATGTGTTTGACCTGAAGAAATACTCCAGATCAGAGGAGGTTCTTCTGAGAATGCTGCCGCTGGTCAAAGCTTCAACGACTGCTCTGTAAGAACCTGTTATAACTTGTGAAGGATTTTGGGATATTGAAAGTGTTCTTCTTCCTGATAGTAGTCCGATTAGTACCTTCCACGAGCGGTCCTGTAGTCCATTCAGGGAGCACTCATGTCACTGTGCTTTGTTTTCCATACCTTTCTTATCCCTCTTTATCTTTTTTTTAAACAGACTGGATCAATGTAAGTTCTCTCAGCGGTCTTGTGAAGCTCTGGCTTCAGTTCTCAGGTCCTCTGGAAGTCTGAAGAACCTGGACCTGAGTTACAACAACCTGCAGGATGGAGGTGTGGTGTTCCTCTGTGCTGGACTGAAGAGTCCACACTGTAAGCTGGAAAATCTAAAGTGAGTTTTCCTGAACCTTCTAAAAAAACATTATGCTTTTCATTATTTACTACTCTTTATGTAATAACCCTCTTCATACAATGGTCTGGGTGAATACTTGATTCCGATTGGCTGAATGGTGTCAATTAACGATTAAAAATGGTGTTACACACAATAGTAACACGCAGGAAGTACACTGCACCCCTGAACCATCTGATACTGGGGATCAAAGCATTATGCCACAGCATTATCCCATTCACATTCAGCTCTCTGCTTCAGGCTGACCACAGTAAACATGGCTTACCATTCTGCTCTCTTGGTGTGCTCCATTTACCTCAGAAGTTGGATGCATTTCATTTCATATTTGATTTATTTGCTCAATTTAGTGTATGGTTTCAACGCTATAATACACAACAAAAACAGGAGCAGGAAGAAGAAAACTTATAATACCTGCCCCTTTCCTAATAACACAAGATACTGTTTAACAGAATAAGATGGCTAACCTGTTGTCTTCTTTCTTTCAGAAAACAAAAAATAGATCAAAAATATAGAAACAATCAAATACAATCAGTTAGATTAACTCATTACATTCATAATTTCCCAGAACCTTTTCTTTATACATTCTTTTAAATTGAATGATACTTGAGCAGCATTTTAAATGATTATCGAGAGAATTCCATAATTTAACTCCATTTACTGAGATACACATTTGTTTTAATGAAGTGCGTGCAAATGGAATTTTAAAATTAAATCTCTGTCTATGATCCTCCTCATTAGATGTAAATACAACCAACTTCTGTACATTTTCGGGTAATGATCCATTTCTAGCTTTAAACATGACTAACAATGTTTGTGAAGTGAACTTGTGAACTAGATCCTGAAATTTCAACACACGTGAGCTAATAAACAGTTAGTATGTTCTCTAACGTTCACTTTGTTTATAAGTCTGATCGCTCTTTTCTGTAAAACAAACAAAGGTTTAGTGTTGGAAAGATGCATTAACCTTTTCCACTGTCTGAGTGAGCTGAAGGACAGCTCGCTGGTCGAGGAGGTCCGACATTACCTGAGAACAGACAGTCTCTCCACTGCACTCCTTTCTCCCGCTCAGTGGTCAGCCCTGGTCTATTTGTTACTGTCTTCTGATGAAGACCTTGATGTGTTTGACCTGAAGAAATACTCCAGATCAGAGGAGGTTCTTCTGAGAAATTTCAACACACGTGAGCTAATAAACAGTTAGTATGTTCTCTAACGTTCACTTTGTTTATAAGTCTGATCGCTCTTTTCTGTAAAACAAACAAAGGTTTAGTGTTGGTCACATACGTGCTACCCCATACCTCTTTGCAATAAGTGAAATATGGAAGAATAAGCGAACAGTACAACATATGGAGAGAAGCGGAATCCAAACTGTCCTTTGCTCTGTACAATACACCAATACATTTACACAATTTTCTCTTTACATATTCTATGTGAGGTTTCCACGTCAGTTTTTCATCAATTATGACTCCCAGAAATTTTGCTTCAGAAACTCTTTCAATGAGAACACCGTTTACAGACATGCTGATGTGTTCCTCCTTTTTTCTATTTCCAAAAATCATAAATTTAGTTTTATTCCAGTTCAACGATAATTTATTTTCATCAAACCACAATTTCAGTTTATCCATTTCACACACTATAGTCTCTGTAATGGACTTCAAATCGTTTCCTGAACAAAAAATATTTGTGTCATCAGCAAACAAAAGAAATTGCAAAATGATAGAACTTTCTATTTGTTCTAAATCCATACTGTTTCTCACTTATTAGATTTTTTTTTCTTCTATAAAATCATCTAATTTTCGAGCAAAACACTTTTCCAGCACTTTAGAAAACTGAGGCAGCAATGACACCGGTCTGTAATTATTAAAACAATGTTTGTCACCATTTTTAAAGAGTGGGACTACTTTTGCCATTTTCAGTTTTTCAGGAAAAATACCAGTTTTAAGTGACGAATTACATATGTAGGTGAATGGAGTAATTATGCAGTCTATTGTCTTTTTTAAAATTGTCATATCAATACCATGACAGTCAGTTGATGTTTTACTCTTACTTTTCATAACAATGGTAGAGATGTCATTCTCACAAATTCTTCCAAGAAACATTGACTGCAGAATTTGACTCCCTCCGCCATCCCTTCTAGTTCTCTTGATTTGATTAGGACCTTGAGATTTGATGGATTTGGCAAGATTAGGTCCAATGTTTACAAAAAAAGAATTAAACTCATTTACAATTTCAGTGTTGTTTTTTATAACTTTATCATCCTTAACAAAACTCTCTGTTTTGTAATGTAGCTTTGAAACCTCACCACAATTGACCTGGGATCCATCTTTTACTCTTACTTTTCATAACAATGGTAGAGATGTCATTCTCACAAATTCTTCCAAGAAACATTGACTGCAGAATTTGACTCCCTCCGCCATCCCTTCTAGTTCTCTTGATTTGATTAGGACCTTGAGATTTGATGGATTTGGCAAGATTAGGTCCAATGTTTACAAAAAAAGAATTAAACTCATTTACAATTTCAGTGTTGTTTTTTATAACTTTATCATCCTTAACAAAACTCTCTGTTTTGTAATGTAGCTTTGAAACCTCACCACAATTGACCTGGGATGATCCATCTGTCCCGTTCTCAGCCCATATGCTCTGTGCGCACGTTCAATGTGCAGATCACAGTTTAGTTCTAATTTCTCACGTATCAGTCTCTCCACATAATCGATCATATTGTTTCCTTCACAGTTTTCAGGAACAGAGTAAATCCGGATATTCTTTCTTCGGGCTCGGCCTTCAAGATCCTCGCACTTTTCTTCCAGTTGTTTCTGCTTTTGAAGCGTGTGGATCAATACTTTTGTCATATCCATTTCATGGTCTTCGTTGTCTAAGATCCTCCGTTCCGCTGCATCAACTCTTTTTTTCATCTCTCCAAAATCTTCCCGTAGGTCGTTAATCTCTCTTGTCAATGTCCCAAAATTCACTGAAGTTTCTGAGCGAAATTCCCTCAATTCTTTTAACAATGCCATAATTCCCGACACATCCTCCATACTCTCTTCCGTGCCGTCTGCCGCTTGATTGTTTTCAGCTTCTTTGTAAGCACTCAGTGCGCCTGCTTGTTACTTTGTTTCTGCTTTGATTTTGACATCCTTTTTGTTATCCTTTTTCACCACTCAACCAGTGCAACAGATTCTCATTTAAACCTCACTACGTTTTTAACAACCGTTCAATGCGGAAATATAGATCATTTTCAATTGTTTGTTGAGAGAGCAAACGCCGGTTCATCCAGCGTGGCAGCCATCTTGGGAATCTTGGCAAGAGTTGGGAATGACGCCACACCAAGTTTGTTGTGTAAGCTAATACCAGGCGACAACAACACACCACGAGTTTTGAGCTGGGGTTACTGAAATTGCTTCCAGTTTCCAAGTTGGGGTCATGACTTCAGGGGCGTTTGGGATGACATATTAGACCTCCCATCTTGGAATTTCGGATTTCGCCATTTATTGCCTGGGAGCTAACAAAAAAAAAGGTACTCCTGGAGGCGTCCATGTTGATTGTCCAACATGTTTTCCAACTTGTTACTGGAACTCGGGTGTGATGTGATTCCCAGCTTGGACATCCAACTTCCTAGGTAAAAGAAACTCCATCATCTGCTCCGAGTTGACCACAGTAAACATGGCTGACCAATTGTTGGTAAAAAGCTTCATTTTCATATTCAGATGTTCCGAACATGTTAGCTACTTTGCTAGCTAACATGAATGCTAAATTAAATGATATTTACTGTGCATCAACTTTACACTAATGATTCATAAACTGTCTCATGCAGGTTGGCATACTGTGTGTTGGAGGAGAACAGCTGTGCTGAGATGGCCTCGGTCCTGACCTGTGAGATGTACGATCCAGTTTTTTCACAAGAATTATCATGCTTGTTGTTATTTAATGTCATGTCATTGATGCTGCAACATTTCAAAACTGTCAAACAGAACATATAAAGTTATTGCTGTATGCATACGGACTGTGTTTCTGTCTTTGTCAAAGATCTTCTTTGCTAACGGAGCCCCGCTATGTGGGGGAATACTGCAGTCTGAGGGACCTGGACCTGAGTCACAACCACCTGACGGATTCTGGACTAGAGTTGCTCTGTGATGCACTGAAGAGTCCACGCGGTAGACTGGAAACTCTCAGGTCTGTTCACTTCACGACAGGGTCTGGGGACATGCTTCCCTGGAAACTCCAATGAGATAATGTTAGTGCATGGTCACTTCACCAACCCTCTGCTTTAAGCAACTTCTTTCCCCTAACACAGATTTTTTGGATTAAATCTCTTTCAGGCTCAGTCTTTGTGGTCTGACTCAGAGAGGCTGTGTGAGCCTGAGCTCGGTTCTCAGCTCTAAGTCCTGCAGTCTGAGAGAACTGGACCTGAGTAACAACGACCTGGAGAGTTCAGGAGTGCAGCGGCTGTCTGATGGTCTGGGGAGTCCAAACTGTATCCTGGAAACACTCAGGTCAGTAAGCTTCACTAAACCTTCACTCCTGCATGAAAGTGGAGATGTGCATGTAGGATGTGCTCTGTGCAGGCTGTCAGGATGTATGATCAAAGAGGAGGGCTGTGCTGCTTTGGCCTCGGCTCTGAGCATCAACCCCTCCCACCTCAGAGAGCTGGACCTGAGCTACAACACACCCGGAGACTTGGGGGTGACCCCGCTCTCTGCGGGACTGGACAACCCAGAGTGGAAATTGGAAATCCTGAGGTACTGCTAATGAGTTTAAGTTCTCAATCTTGAGTGTCAAGTCTTCTTTAATACAGCATGATGTTCATTTAAGTCCTGTTTCCACCAAGTTTCCACCATCCAAAGTTTGGAATGGTAACAAAATAACCGATCCGTACCGTCCTACTTTTTTGCTACCCTTCTGTTGGGGTGTGAAGCGTACAGATCCGCCCCTAAAGGGTGGAGCTAGACCCACTACAGACCACATGTTGCTGCCATGACACCTGAATGATGTCTTTTTCAGATTGAATTTAGAGACACTAGATTTACTTGAAAGCCTTTATTTCTTTAAAGTGGAGTTTAATATGGATGCATTAGCTAACCAAGCTAGCATTAGCATTGGCTGATAAGTGAGCAGTCAGACACCCTGACGCTTTCACACAATCCATACAGGCAGTTGTTGATAAATGTTCTTCCGCCTATATTTCCTTTATAAAAAAACAGAGACAGCACATTCATACAGGATGAAATCACAGACAACCTTTGGTTTTACTGCACACCATAGAGACACTGAGCGAGCGTCTGTCTTTGTGAATCTTTCAAACAGTATCAACATATTCAGATATGAATAAGGAATAATCAGGATATCTTGTCTCCTTCTGCTGCAGAGTCGATCACTGTGGAGAGATCAAGTTCCTGCCTGGGCTGCGAAAATGTGAGTCTGATTTGTGAGAACCATTTCTACAGTGTGTGCGTTCAGAGGATTGTAAGTGTTAAACATCAGTTGGAACTTTCCTTATGAGGTTATCAGTTAAGATTTAAAAAATCGTCTCGTTTGAAGCCGGACTTATGTAGTTTAAACGAAGAAATCAACAGATTCTTTACAATTTTATTACAAAGAACATTTTACTGCGATGTTCTGATATACACATTCATGTTACTCGGCTGTTGCAGTTAACGTTAATGACAGCGAGATGTTCCACCAGGTGTTTTTTCTTTAACTCGTCTTTGTTAATTCTCACATTTCAAACGTCTGTTCTCTCTTCTGTCAGACGCTTGTGAGCTCACACTGGACCCGAACACAGCAAACAAGACTTTAAACCTGTCTGAAGGGGACCGACAGGTGACAAATGTGAGACAGGAGCAGCCGTATCCGGATCACCCGGACAGGTTTCAGTTCAGGTACCAGGTCCTGTGTACGACTGGTCTGACCGGGCGCTGTTACTGGGAGGTGCAGTTGAAAGGAGAAGTTTCTGTGGGAGTCTCTTACAGAGGCATCAACAGGAAAGGAAGGGATTACGACTCTCTGCTCGGGTGGAACGATCGGTCCTGGAGCTTCATCTGCAAAAGTCTCACCGCCATACACAACAGGAAGCGTACGGTCGTGTCTGCTGCGTCGGCCCACGGCTCCCACAGAGTGGCGGTGTATCTTGACTGGCCTGCTGGGATTCTATCCTTCTACAATGTCTCCTCTAACACCCTGACACACCTCCACACCTTCCACTGCGCCTTCACTGAGCCTCTCTACCCTGCTTTTAGGGTTCTTGGTACGTATTCATACGCGTTAATTGTGAGTGACGGTGTTCAGATATCGTATGATGGAGACAAATGAAATGTACAGGAGAGTGGCATATTTTAAATTAAAAGCATGAGTCCCCGTGAGCTGTCAATGCCATAGACTGTTTGAAAAGATGGAGAACATGACCACTCCTTTAATGTGGACCCAAATCACTGAGAGCTCCCCCTACTGACTGGCTGCAGTATAGGTCATAAGCTCCGCCTCCCTCCATGTTGATAGATGGGACATCGATCAAACTCTAAAATCAAATTACAGAGAGTTATTTTCATGCTGATTTTTGTCCATTTTTCATTAAAGTTTTAATTACTTATTTGATGCTATAAAAAGGGTTATAACTCCATGATTGGAGTTGACAGATGTGTCGACGAATGAGGCTCCTGCTTCGTGCACCAGATGATCAGAGTATAGAAGCAGTGGTGAGAGGAGACGTAACAAACAATAACAGAGGAGTTGTTGAACTTTCCATAACCGCCCCATGTCTGCTTCAAACCGACACGAGAATCTGCCCTGCTGTGGACTGAACCCAGCTGAGGGACTTTTGACCTTTAAACAGGAAGTGAAATGAGAGTTTTTAAGTAAGCAGCAGAGGCGGGACTTTAATTATTTTTACTGCACAGACTTTGGCTCAAAAAGAGTAACATGTTGGCGCCCATCATATTGTTATGTTCACTCATGGAGGATGCAGAGACGGGTCCAATGTCTCGTTATGGTTATTGCATGTTGCCTCGACGACTCCTCCTCACCTCCTCGTTTCCTCGCCTCCTCGTCTTCTAACGTCTTCGTCTCCTCACCTCCTTTCCTCCTTATTTTCTCGCCTCCTCGTGTCCTCGCCTCCTCGTTTCTTCGCCTCCTCGTCTTCTAACCTCCTCGTCTCCTCGTCTTCTCGTCTTCTCACCTCCTTTCCTCCTCATCTTCTCACCTCCTCGTATCCTCACCTCCTCGTCTCCTCACCTCCTTGTTTCCTCACCTCCTCGTCTCCCATCTCAGATTGGAGGGAGTAATATTCAAGGACAGGAGACGAGGAAAGGAATGAAGGATACACATGAAGTGATAATGAGAATATACTACAGCAAAGACAAATTTTATAAATGTGACGACCTCTGGAGACGGAACAATTATTCACTTGTTTCTATTTCTTTTACTGCGCTTACCTTCTTATTGCTGTTACCTTTTGATTTTCTTTTAGCTCTTTTAGTTTCTTTCATCTTTTTAAATATTTGCTCCTCTTGGGGCTCAGCTTGTGTTGTGGGGTTCTTATGATGGTTCTTGTGATGGTCGGGTTATATATGTCTGTTGGGTATCGTGCAATATGGGTTCTTTTCTGTTGAATTGTATTTAATTATTTTTAGTATTTTGCATGTGTTATGTTCTTGCTGTTGTTTATGTTCTTCTGTGTTTGGTTTAATTTGCTTTGTTCTTTTTTTTGCTGTTTGTCAAAGCACTTTGTAAACCTGTGTTTTTAAAAGGTTCTATATAAATAAAGTTATTATTATTATTATTATTATTATTATTATTATTACTTCCTCCCCTCATTAGAAAGGGGCGTAAGTATTGCGGATTGAAACGGCAGACTGAAACAGACCAAGACTTTCTGATAGAAATTGTAATTGAGATGCACATCCCTAGCATTGATGAAGCTTCATAGCTGTGTAATATAAATGTATTTACACACTTTCTACCTGAGCACATTTACATTTTCTCTTTTTACAAATTTTATTTTTCTGCTGCAGAAAACTTTCTTACCTGTGAAGTAGTTACATTTTGGTAAATGGAGCTTGTTTAGTTCTTTTCAAGTCTCCTATCCACAAACGGAAGAGTAGAGGAAACTTAAACGATGCTGCACTCTAGCGGCCAAACGCAGCAGGTGCAGCTTCCAGGTTACCTGAAGTTAAACCGGAGAACAGAAAGAGTTCAGTCATCGATTCAAAGAGTATTTAGGATCGTACTAGACCTCAAAGGAACATCAAGTCCAGGTGAGACTCACGTACGTCACTCACACTGAAAACAGCCAAGAAAGAGACAGAAAACAGATGAAATGTTTATGAAAATAAAATCAAGCACAGAAGTGATCAAGACTTTTTATTATTATTATTTATATGCTATTTTCAGGTCAAACAAGCATATAAAATGATAAAGAACAGAGAAGTAAAAGCAGACATTTTTTAATTGAAAAATGTGCAGCTTCCAGGTTACCTGAAGTTAAACCGGAGAACAGAAAGAGTTCAGTCATCGATTCAAAGAGTATTTAGGATCGTACTAGACCTCAAAGGAACATCAAGTCCAGGTGAGACTCACGTACGTCACTCACACTGAAAACAGCCAAGAAAGAGACAGAAAACAGATGAAATGTTTATGAAAATAAAATCAAGCACAGAAGTGATCAAGACTTTTTATTATTATTATTTATATGCTATTTTTCAGGTCAAACAAGCATATAAAATGATAAAGAACAGAGAAGTAAAAGACATTTTTTAATTGAAAAATGTAATTTATTCTAGTTTAAAATACTTTTAAAAGTATAGCCTATAAATATATTTCATGCATATTTGTTTATTTAGCATATAATAATATTTAAAAAAATAATAATTTTTATAAAATGTCAGATATTTATATTATCAATCCAAACGTTCACCTGTACAAAGAAAAAATATTATTTATATTTAAACGATATAATAAAAAAATGTGAAGTATTCAAATAAAACCAGACATTTTTGTTATATCATTTAGCTTTATATTTCTATATTTAATTTCTATATTTAATCAATCCTCTTTCTTATTATTTTATTCATTTAAACATTAATGTTTAAATGACCCTCGTGTCATTTCAAAATAAAACCTTTTTTTAAAACATATTAACAGAAACACTAACTGTCTCAACGACCATCTATAATAATAATAATTATAATAATTATAATAATTATAATTATTATTTGATTAACTGAGATTAACTTGATTGATATAACTGAGTATATTGGATGATGCTGTCGCTGTGTGTGCAGTTCCTCTTCTCTCCACCAGGTGGCGCCTGGGAGTCACAGCGCCACGCTCCGCTGCTTCTAAACTTCTGACTTTCTTTATAATTCAGTTTTTAAGACCCTGAACACAGAAGAGTTTGTGAACTCTCAGAGGCAAACTGATGCTGCTACTTCCTGTCACGTGATGTTGTTGAGTTCCAACGCCATGGCGATGACCCCCTCTCCCCCCCACCCCAGGTAAGGTCTTTTTCATATACCTGAAAAACTTAAAACAGAAGCCCATCCCGATTAGAGGCCCACTCGGAGGCTTTTAGTCCCAAAGTGCAGAACAACGAAGCTGCTGCTATCCCGGAACTAAACAAGCTTAGACTCACACAAACACATTTATTTATTTAAGTCCAAAACTTATTTTGACCCTACCTGAAGACATTATTTATTTATGTGTTTTAATGGATCTTATTGACTGAGACTTCTCTCTCCTCTCTGTCCTGATTGGTGAAACCTCGAGCTCTTTTTTCATTTTTTATAACTTTTCACTTATTTGTTTTAAATCGTGTTCCTCCTCTCTTCTCTTCTTTGTTGTTCCTCGTTACATCTGCTCTGTACTTTTTGTGTCAGTCATGCTAGCTGCAAACACATCCACCTTCACGTAAAGTCACCTGAACCATAACCAGAACCTATACCTGAACCACGTGCAGCTCTCGGTTTGAGGATGTGAGGCTGAAAACATCTGCAGATCAAAAAAAACAAGAAGAAAAATAAAAAAGACGAAAAAAGATGAACAAAGAGAGTGCAGGACAGACTCAGAAAAACCAAAACCAAACGCTCCTCTCTGCTCTGAGACGAAGTCTGAAATAAATAAAACCTAATTTTTAATAATTAACCCGAAGAAGCGCTCGTGACGTTTTCTTTATTTATGACAATTAAAATGTTTTTTATTTTACAACAAAAATATCGATGAAAGCTTTAATTTCTTTCTACAGACAAAAACAACGAGAACTAATTTAGAATATGTAAATATATATAAAACAGAATACTACAAATATTAAAACGTTCATCAATATTTTATTTTAAAACATGAAACAGAAATCTAAAGTGTTGTTTTGTGTTTCTAAATTATCATTCATACTTATAAATCTCACATAAAGAATACAAACAGATCATCTGAAAATTTAATTTATATTTTTTAAATTTAAGATTTTTGTTGTTGAAGTTATCATTTATAACCAGGGTGAAATAGGTGTAGTTCTATTTCCTGCCAGCAGAGGGCGCAGCGCCACAGAGACCCTCAGAAGAGTTATAAATAAATACATGAATAAATAAATAAATAAGGTGTTGTACAAGGATTTAGATTAAATTTAAATAATAATAATAATAATACATTTAGATTGTTTCATTAAATTTTTACATGTTTCTTTATTTAAAAGTTCCTGTTTATTATAAATTGTATTAATTCATCTATCCCTCAGTGTTCTTTAAAATATTCTGTATTTATTTAAATAAAGATTTACTTTACTTTTTTATTTTCTAAGTCTTAAAGGTTGAAGCTGTCGATCCGCTCATCATTAAAATAAATTCAAACATGAATAATAAACTCAAAATAATCTGAATAACTGTTTTTATTAATATAATTTTAAAATCAAAAGAGGAATGAACCGGCTAAATTTTTTTATTATTCTTTAATTCTAAAAATGTATTGTTATTTTTAACTTTATTTATTTATGTTTTTAGTATTTTACAGATATGTGTGTGTGTGAGGTAGTGTTGTAGTCAAGACCACAAAGCATAGACAAGACCAGACCAGACCAAGACATACCCGAGACTATATAATAATAATAACTTTATTTATATAGCACCTTTTAAAACTCAGGTTTACAAAGTGCTTTGACAAACAAGAGCAAAGCAAACTAAACCAAACACAGAAGAACATTAACAACAGCAAGAACATAACAAATGCAAAAAAATAATTTAAAAATAATTAAATACAATTCAACAGAAAAGAACCCTAAGTGCACGATACCCAACAGACATATATAACCCGACCGTCACAAGAACCATGACAAGAACCCAGGCGACACAAGAACCCCACATAGTACCATAGTGCTCTGAGACTGAGACCAAGACCATAAATATCTCTGAAAAATCATTGCCTTGTGTTTAGGGGGCGTGTCACTCACAGTGGTGGTCTTGACTGGTGTTGATTTAAAATCTGGAGTCCACCAAGTCTGAGACCTGCTGAGACCTGAGTAAAACTGCTTTAGTGGTTTTGAGACCAAGTCCGATTTTGAGGACTACAGCACTAGTGTGAGGTTTTGTGAACGTTGACGTGTGATTGTGTGTATCACCACCAGCGAGTCTTTATAATCCTGATGCTGGTTATAAGTCAGTCCACCTGTCCAACGATTAGATTATTCACCTGCCCGTCGTCCTGCCCTTGCTCTGTTTGTGCACACGAGCAGAGTCATCCACAAGTAGCAGCATGTCAGAGAAAGATCGTTTTCATATGTCAGCGGTTTACGTTGAAGAGAGGAACGTTTGTTCAGGTTGGTTCATTTCAAAATCGAGACTGTTTTTATGCTCTTTCAAACCTTTCTCTGAAAGCGTTCCTGAACTCAACCTTTGCTTTCGAGCTGTCATCTATGACATCTTCACCCAAAGAGCTTTACAGCTGCAGTTCCTCCAGTGTCCACTAGAGTCTGTCTCCTGCAGTGAGTCAGTCCCCATAGAACTCATTGTTTAAAGACCCCCTTTTTGGGGTTCGTATATTTAATCTATGTACCTACTTTTGTACGTTCATAATAGATAAAGTCAGAAAAAAGTGTCTGTTTTCATGTACTGCTCCTCCTTGCCCCTCTCCGCTCTGAGTCTTTCAGCGACGCTCTGCTGA